GTTTTTGTTTTTGTTTTGTTTTTTGTTTTTGTTTTTGTTACTTGGGGAAGACGTAACAAATTGGCGACGAGGATGGGATGTTTTCTCTGTTTATGTTAAATAAACAAACCTCAAGAGTCTTAGGAAAGAAAAGATGGCATAAGAAGCAGTGGAACCGGTTGGTAGCATCGGTAAAACTCAAAAATACGTCACTGTTGCCGACTTTGAATCATACGCCGAACAACTAGAGGGCTATTTCGTCGACACAAAACAAAAGAAAACCGTCTTACTTACAAATTCCCCTAAGGAAACCTACAAATTGGCCAAGGATTTGGTTGCTCCAAGCCTGTTAAAGGAATACTCAATTACTTATAATGCGATATTCGAACGACTCAGTTCAAACGCGATCAAATATAAACTCAGAAGTCTGCTCTCGTTGCTAGGTATGAATTTGACGTGTACATCATGGATTCTGGGAAGCAGTTCGGTTAGAGCTGCAGCGAGGCCACAGCGAGGCCATAGCGTGGTGCCTCTTCCTAATATACTATTCAACATCAAAACACTAAGGAGCATGCCAACTGCAATGGGCTTTCTCGCCTGCTATTGTTAGTAAGTCCTGACAGGCCTGAGGAAAAGGAAGTATATCAAAAGTCAGTAATAGAAAAGCTTCCAGTGACTGAAAAGGAGACCAGGAAACATGCGTGGAGATCCAGTTATGCCCCTTGTTCTGGAATCAGTGCAGTAAGGATGGAAGGAAGAAGCGATCACCCAAGAAATTGCACCATATGCTCACTGTAAGGATAAAAATAACCCTACTGCATGGGGAGATTCTTATGTTGCAAACCAGGGTCATCGTACCAAAAAATCGCAAGACAGGGTTTTCCAAGATATTCATGAGGGACAGATAGAAGTGGTAAAGATGAAGGGCCTTGCACGTGGACACGTGAGAAAAAGATAAAGACATCGAGAACATCGGAATGCAACGTGGCAGGGGATTTGCTGGAGTCTTCCAGGGTAGGATGATCCTTCTCTGTGTAGATATTCTTACCAAATCGCCATATATATTAGTAACGAAGAAAACTATAGTTGAAGAGACTGTGGGGACATGTTAGCCAAAATGGGTCTCCCTGAACAAACAGTTTCAGACAACGGACCCCAGTTCACTTCTGCGGAACTAGGGGAATTCATAGAGGAGAATGGTATGCGCCATGTTACGGGAGCACCCTTTAATCCTGCCACCGATGGCCTCGCTGAGAGGCTGGTACAGAGTCGGTTAAACATGCAGTGAAAGGAGAACAGCCAAACAGGACACTTCAACACAAGAGTGACCAGTTCTTGCTGGCATATCGCATAGCACTACATGTCACGACCGGCATATCAGCTCAACAAAGTTGCTGTTTCAAAGAAACCCGAGGACCACACTGGATCTTCTTAAGCCAAGTGTAAGGAGTAAGGTGGAGTGATTTTATTGATTCCATGAAGGTCATGAAGTCTGTATTATAAACTACCGAGGTCGTCCCAAATGGGTTCGTTGTACGGTTTTGGAAYAGACGGCCCATCAAATACACATCTACTAGAAATGACAAAAACCGCCCTCATGCACAGTTTCTGTTGCTCGCAACAGTGTAATTACAYTGCACATGTCTGTAGAATGAACAACAATGAACTACAGAAACAAGTCCTGCTCGATACGAAAGTCCCGAGGACTTTATGGAATAAGTTTGAAAGAATTCTACCAATGGACTCCACACAAATTAGGAGAACTATGATGGACAAATCAGCCCTTACGCGACTGCTGCAGCAAGYGTTGCAGACAGAAACTCCCAAAGGATGATAGTACTTCGAAAAAGGGAAAAATGATGATGATGAGTGCTATAGAAAGTCCAGCTCAAGATAAAGTGTAAAGGGAATATGTTGTATGTAGTTGGTAGTGAAGACGCGGTGAAACCAAGTGATCATGATGTCGATACCACCACTGACTCAGTTGACAACCACAGCCCACCTGCAATGCATGAACCCAAACTGGATCACGTTATAAATGTGGCAACTCGATTACAGCCCCTGGAACAGGCACATGAGATGTTGAAGGTCACCCGTTCGGGAAGAGTTGTTAGAAGTCCATCAAGATTCAAAGACTTGGACTGCTCAGGAAAATAAAAACGAGCAGTGACCCATAATTTTTTTGTATGTTGTTACTAGTGTATGCTGATCAGAAACCCACTGTTGTGTAGATAAAGGGGAAGGTGTTGTAGAGTATTTGGGTTTCCCGTGTAACCACGTGACCGATTTCGTTGTAATAAACTCGTTGCCCGCCATCTTGGTGGTTTGGGTTTCTTTGTTATCCGGGGAAAACATAAAAATAATGGAGTCGAGAACATCCTCCCTTTTTTAAAACCATTCTGCAGAGAGAGAGAGAGAGAGAGAGAGAGAGAGAGAGAGAGAGAGAGAGAGAGAGTTTATTGAATAATTGCCTCTATCATATCTTAATGCTATGAAAGTACAGTGAAAGTTTTACAGACGTTTTTATTCAGTAGGAAAATGTGGAAGCCGCTTCACCTGCCCTGATGGTAAATGTCTTTCATGGAATTCAACATGTTCCAACTCCAGTCAGAAGCAAGATCAATGTCAAGATAACTCAAATTCCCCAACTGTTTGTGGTAAGGATGAAGTGACTTTGCAGGCCACATTAAAATAATTCCTTGGAAACATGGGCTTTAGACATGGAAACATGTCTAAATATTATAATAAAAAATAAATAGCGTTAAATGGACGGACAGACAAAAGTGGGAAGGGGGTTTTGACGGGGCGTTCCTTCTTGTGTTCCAGGCATCCTGTCTGATTGTCCACTAARCAAGCTTAACTGTAAGGGAGAAGAATTCCCAAAATCAAACTATTCTTTTGAAGGTAATTTTATATCTTTTATGGTTTTGTGTTGAAATCTGTTCGTCTGTGAATTTAGGATTTTGTCTGTTCCATGCAATTAACGTGCAATTTTTTTCTACTTTACTGCACATACCATTTAAAATGCTTGATATTGTGCAGGGCCTTGCAGTTTTACATACGGATTCTGTGGTCTTACTCAAGATAATACCACAAGCATGGTTTGGAAAATCGGACAGGGAGAAACACCAACAGAGGGAACAGGACCARGCTACGATCACACGAGTTATAGCGAAAAAGGTGCGTCTAGTTGTGATCTTCTTCATGACTTTACAATCTTGTAATTCTTCATTTTTCTTCTTTGACTTTCTCATTATTCTTTTCAAAGCGATTGTTCTTGTCATTTGTTTTCTTCTTTTCATTGATTTCCAATATAATCAACGCTTTTAAATCTTAGTCAGTTAACATGGCTGCGCGGGCCAATAGGCGATTAAAATCTTCCAGTGAGAAGGTAGTTGTGTCCTTTGTGCTATGAATGGAATTAATCATAACAATAAGGCAAAGCAAATATTTGTGGAGTTACAAGCGATTGAAATGTACCAAATAGACCCTAAGCAAAAAGCCATGCAAAAGAACATTTCTTTCCGGTCCACTGTATTACTACATTCATGATAGCGATCATTTCAAGCAACATGCTAATGTTGGCAATGGAGTACAATTTCATTGCTCTTTTACAAATTTCTGAAAATTTACATCGTTTTGAAATTGTTGAGATGAACACTGCTCATTGTGTCAGCCAAATGCATTTCAGTTCCTTTCTAAAATATTTCAGACTAAATGTCGGAGCCTTTAATTCGAAAAATGGTTTTGTGGTCTTGTGGTAGAAGTTTCATAGTGATCGATTTGAAAGGCTTGTCTTAAGATTGAACCGTTTTCTGCTCGGTTAGGCACCAGAATATTGTGAGTAGAAGTATATGGTATATAACGTAAGCTCAATATTCCCTTTGACATTTGCAGGCAGGTACATATTCTTAGAGACATCTAGCGGAAAAGCTGGAGACAGTGCGCGACTATCCAGCGAATGGATGAATCCTGTGACACCATCTTCATGCTTACAATTTTGGTATCACATGTACGGGTATAATATCGGAGCTTTAAAAATCATAATGAAAACGTTGCAGACCGAACAAGTGTTATGGTCAGAAGATGGACAGCGGAGGAACCAATGGCATTTAGGTCAAGTCGAACTGACGTCGATTTCGAAGAAACCAAATGCAACCTTTCCCGTTTTAGTGAATACTAAACCATTTAAGGTACATATCACATTTGCTTTTCACTGTTGACTTTATGCTATGTATTTAGTTAGTCAGTCTGTTGGTTGTTTTGCAGGTCAATAAACTGGCTATTTTATGGTTGCTTCGCCGGCTATATCCTTGTGGTCTATTTCTTTTGTTTCGATGCTTAAGCTCCTTATTGTCTCACTATTATTATATAGTTTACAAAGAAGGCGCGCACTGATCGGTCGAGAACTGCGTTTTATTAGTAAACAGAGCACGGAACGCTCTTCAAAAGGGTGTAAAAGAAAGGCATTAGAAACAACAAGATAATTTTACTTTACACATAATAAGGCAAACAAAACAGCTGATTGTAAGTCGCTTAGATAATACGCGTACTCTGATTGGTCGAGAACTGTCCTATATATCTAAAATAATCTTACTTCATTTAGTTTATAATCGAGGGAGTCAAAGGCGATGGACCTAAAGGAGATATAGCTGTAGATGATATATCTTTGCTGAAGGGAAAATGTACTCTACCATACACTGAATGTAAGTTGTTTTAAATTCATTTAGCTTTACCTGATTTAGGTTCGATATACTAATCACCTGAGTGTATCCGATACTATGATATGACCGATTTTTCAGGAATACTTACTAGGTGAAGTTTCAATTCGTTTACAGAATATACATCTTTAACTTGGCATAACTGCGGAGCACCATATTCTTAAGAAAATTGGAAACCAATAGGGTTGATTTTCCGTACGTCCGTCCGTGTACATAAGTGGGAGAGAAGAAATATCAAAAACACCATCAAAGACTTTGTTAATTTTCTTCTGACATGCTCTCGTTTTTTATGGAAAGGAAAAATCAAGCGCCTTCTCATGCACAACCGTTAAACAAAGAATGATGCTCTAGGGAATGAAATGTGCTCTAAAATGGGAAAACATTGGGAAAGCTAATGGGATAGAATAAAACAAGCATATTTGCAGTATATGCGCCTTCTCCAGCACAACCGTTAAACAAAGAAATGATGCTCTAGGGAATGAAATGTGCTCTAAAATGGGAAAACATTGGGAAAGCTAATGGGATAGAATAAAACAAGCATATTCGTAGTATATGCGCCTTCTCCAGCACAACCGTTAAACGAAGAAATGATGCTCTAGAGAATGAAATGTGCTCTAAAATGGGAAAACATTGGGAAAGCTTATGGGATAGAATAAAACAAGCATATTTGCCTTATACCATTTAAAACAATAATGATAATAATAATTATTATTATTTGAAATTAATGAATAGAATTTATTGTATTTCATAAAAATATATCTTTTTTATAGATCCTAATACGTCTGTTTTCGAAGGTATGTCTTATTTTCATTTTACGAAGGACAACTTTCTATTAGTGGTATTAATCATATTTTTTTCTCCATTACATTTTTTTTCATATATCCAATCTGCAACAATTTGAATAATAATGATATGTAGAATGATATAGACAGGCAGTCAGGCAGGCAGGTAAGCAGTACGACTTAAGACTTCGCTCGATATTGAAGAACGATTCYAAACGCAGTTACAAATAAAATAATTATCTTTTTATACGTTTCAGCTACTTCTCCTTGTGGAATGTTTTATGGAAAATACCATGATGATTTACCAGAAAACTCGACATTTGCTTGCTTGCGGTTTTGGTGCATCGTACAAGACCTCGTGTATTGTCGTCGGCCTAAAAAATATAGAGTAAATTTTGACATATTTAAAGTTACAAAGAGCAAAGATTATCGTAAGTAGTAATCAATGTAGAAAGAAAAAATGCTCCATACATCCATCCATCCATCCATCTTTCCTATTTAATGCTAATTTTAAATCTGGAAAGAAAGAAAGGAGTGTCCTGAGGTTATTATCGAGACATTCACGATTAAACATAAGCGTGTCATCTCAACTTTTGAACAAAAACAATGCGATAAAAATCTTCAACGAAATAACTCAAAACGTCACTGGTAATCAAGCTTTTGACACTTACCTTTTATTCTTCTTTTTCTTTTTTTACGTACCTATTTTAAAATTGGAAAAAACATATAAAGTCCCGTGCAAAATGTGAGGGTTTTTCCCTGTTGTACTTTGTTGAAGTTCAAAACGTGTATGGTTCCGCATTAACATTTTGTCAGGTCAATCTAGGTTTTGAGCGCCTTTAGTAAGCGGGCCGCATCGTGGGCTCAAGTAATGGCGTCATTGACGTTGCATAGGAGTATACGCAGTAGCTTTATTTTTCAATAGTAGGCAGCCACCTAAATAACCAATACATAAAATAACGAAACTTTTAATCTAAGTAATACTTTTTTAGGCGACTCTTAAAAATACTTAAAGATGGAATATCCTTAATATCTCTAGGTAGTGTATTGAACATAAGAGATCCTGAATATT